TTTGTGCTTTCAAAGGGGAAATCGGAGAAAGCCACGAACTTTGTGACCGTCGCTCTGTTTTAGTTTTTCTTAGTTTTCCATGTGAAAGCACAGGCTTGTTTCTGTTTTTTCCAGGTTTGATTGTTTTGATGGTAAGCTTCTGCTGCTCCTCCCCCCTCCGCCTTCCCTCCTCATCGTCCCTTGCTCCTCCACTGCAACTTCAGTCGGATGCAATAAGGACAACATGACCACCTCACTCCATCCCCCTCCTCTTCCAATCGGAATGCGATCGGAATGCAATCCGGGTTTCTATTGGCAGTTCAGGAAGAGGGGAGGGCGGTGAGGAGATCTTATTGCTTTCTGATTGCAATCCTACTGCGTGCGCATTAAAAAGGATAGGGAGAGGGGAGGAGGGAGAGGGGAGGAGGGAGGGTCGAGGAGGGAGGGGGGCGCGGAAGCTTACCAGGAACATCGGAAAACCATGAGAAAGAATTACAACTTTGTGGTTGCATTGAGAACGTAGGAAAAAGGCAACGAACCTTTTAATTGTCGCTCTGTTCTTCGTGCTTCCTATTGTTCCTTGTGAAATCATTTGCTTGTCTCATGTTTTTCCATGTGTGCCGTTTTTCCTTGGTAAGCTGCCGTTGCCCCTCCCCCCTCCTCCGCCCTCCCTCCTCATCCTTCCTTCCGCCTCCAATGCAAGTACACTAGGATGCAATAAGAATCAAGATGACCACCTCACTTCATCCCCCTCCTCTTCCAATAGGAACGCGATCGGCAGGTCAGAAAAGGGGGGAGGGCAGGGAGAAGATCCTATGGCCTTATGATTGCAATCCTATTGCGCTTGCTTAAAAAGAGAGGGAGAGAGGAGGAGGGAGGGTGGAGGAGGGAGGAGGGGCGCGGAAGCTTACCAGGATAATCGGAAAAACTTTTTCACAATGAAGAATAGGAAACGGCCACGATCCTTGTGACTGTCGCTCTGTTACTCGTTTGTCTGATTTTCCGTGTGGAAACATTTGCTTGTCTCATGTGTTTATAATTTTCTTGTTTCTTTGTCAGCTACCGTTGCCCTTCCCCCCTCCTCCGCCGTCCCTCATCGTTCCTTTCTCCTCCATTGCAATTCCAATAGGATTGTAATAAGAAACCAGATGACCACCTCACTCCATCCCCCTCTTCCAACAGGAACGCGATAGGAATGCAATCCGGATTCCTGTCTGCAGGTCAGGAAGGGCTGAGGGCGGTGAAGAGATCCGATGGCTTTCTGATTGCAACCCTATTGCGTTTGCAATGGAAAGCGGAGGGAGAGAGGAGGAGGGAGGGTGGAGGAGGGAGGAGGGGCACGGAAGCTTACCAGGAGCATATGACAATCATGAGAAACATGGAAACCCTAAGTTTTTCACAGAGATGACTAGGAAACAGCCGCGATCTTGGCGATTGCCGGTCTGTGGTTTAGTGTTTCCTCTTTCTCCATTTGGAAGCATGAATGTTCCTGCCTGGTTGTCTTGTTTTCCTTGTTTTATGTTGGTAAGCTTCCGCTGCTCCTCCCCCCTCCTCCGCCTTCCCTCCTCATTCTTTCCTCCCCCCCTATGCAATTACAATAGGATTGCAATAAGAAACAAGATGACCACCTCACTGCATCCCGCTCCTCTTCCAATAGGAATGCGAAATGAAAGCAATCGGGATTCCGATCGGTAGGTAAGGAAGGGGGGAAGGTGGTGAGGAAGTCCTCTTGCTGTGTTTTGCCTTCCTATGGCGTTTGCATTAGAAAGGAGAGGGAGAGAGGAGGAGGGAGGGTGGAGGAGGGGAGGGAGGCGCGGAAGCTTACCAGGAACTAGGGGGAGAAAACAAGACACACCTTGTGTTTCCACAGAGATCAACAGGAAACACCCACGATCCTGGTGATTGTCGCTCTCTTCTTCGTTTTCATAGTTTCCCATGTGTAAACATATGTTTTGTCATGTTGTTCATACTTATATTGTTGTCCTGGTAAGCTTCCTCTGCCCCCCCCCTCTCTCCGCCCTCCCTCCTCATCCTTTCTTCCTCCTCCAATGCAAGTGCAATCGGATTGCAATAAGAAGCACGATGACCACCTCACTTCATCCCCCCTCCTCTTCCAGTAGGAAAGCGATAGGAATGCGATCTGGTTTCCTATCGGTAGGTAAGCAAGGGAGTTGGGTTGTGAGGAAGTCCTCTTGACTTCTATGTTGACCTGTTATTGCGTTTGCATTAGAAGGTTGAGAGGGAGAGGAAGAGGGAGGGTGGAGGAGGGAGGGGGGGCACGGAAGCTTACAAGGAAAATCGGACAAACAGTAAACACATGAAACACCATACGTTTTCAGAGAGAAAAAGAAAAACACATACCTTGTGATTGTCTCCGTTCTTTGTTGTTCGTATATTCTCCGTGAAAACACAGGCTTTTCCCTGCTGTCCTGTTTTTGTTCTTGCTTTCCTGGTAAGTTTCCACTGCCCCTCCCCCCTCCTTCGTCATCCCTCCTCATGCTTCCTTCCTCCTCCACTGCAGTTACGACAGGGCTGCAATAAGACACAAGATGACCACCTCACTCCTTCCCCTCCTTCCCCCTCCTCTTCCACTAGGAACGCGATAGGAATGCAATTGAGATTCCTCCGCCCCTCATTTTCTCCTGCGATAAGAACACCATCGACGTGGCAATCGATGATGGAGATGCACATGAAATCATCTGGACATCCATCGAGCAAAAACCTTGTTGTAATCACGCAGACAGGAGGTCGCACGTGCCCCCCCCCCCCCCCGACGGTCGACCCCGCGGGGGCGGTGGACACGTAAGTCGCAACACAACCTCCCGGGAGTCCCCAGTGGCGGTATCGCTTTAAACATGTTGTGAATTTGCATGCCCTAGCTATTAATTTGTCCCGGGGGGTCTTGGGGGGATTATGATTCATCTGCAACTATAATTACATCTAGAGGCAATGCATTGTCAATCGATGATTTCATCGCTTCGCTGATTCCGCCGGCCCTGGAGCGCTATTTGGGGCCTCTTGGGGCCGTCTTGGGGGCTTCTTGGGAGCGTGTTGGGGCTCCTTGGCGGCGTATTGCGCTCCCCTGGGGCCTCTTGGGGGGCTCTTGGGGGCCCCTTGGGGCGGGAGGGGGGGTAGTCGTTGGCAGCCCCCCCTCGGAGGCCACGATCCTCGTGAGGGGTGGCGAAAAATAGCCTCCCCCCTGGGGATCGCCCGGGGGTCAGCCGGGGATCGGCCGGGGTACTTTTCGTCCGGGGCCCCCCAGGGGCCGCCCCGCGCGCGCGAACTAGAAATATTGTTAAGTAGTTACCGGAGATCTTAGCACGCCTCTGGCCCGTTGGGCCGGCGAATTGTTTGGTGGCATGGTTCCTGCAGACGTGCTTCGAGGCCCTGCCGGCCGCCGGCGAATGACGAACGACCATCACACACACACACACCCATACGCGTAGGGGGGACTGACGGGGCTACCTGTACGACCACCCTTCGGGCGATAAGACCCACTGGCAGCGACTGCGATAACTGTGATGGCGACAAGATGACGGCATTGCTGGATGACGCTCATGGTGATAATGAACAGTGGTGATGGCAACGAAGGCGATACAGCCGCGATAGCGCTCACACAACATAGATGCGACCTCGCATTCAATTCCAATCGACTGATCTCACTACCGGCTTCACAATCGATCTCAGTATCGATCTCACAATCGATCTCACGATCGATCGGAAGCAAAGCTTGTTTGGGCCAAGCATCCGCGGTAGCAGTGGTAACCATTGCCACGGTGATTGCAATGCGTAAAGTGATCGCTGGAGCGAGGGCGAACGCGTCCCATGGATAGTGAGATCTGTTGTGATCGGTCTCGCTATCGATCTCACGATCGATCTCAGAACAGATCCCACGATCGATCTCACTGTCGATCACACACCAAATCCCGCGATCGATCTCACAACGAATTTCAAAATCGATCTCACCCTCGATCTCACGATCGTTCTCGATACCGATTGCACGATCGATCTCAATATCGATTTCACTACCGATCCCGATACCCATCGCACAAGAGATCCCACTGTCGACTTCACAGGAGATCTCACGACACACCATCGGGACACCACGATGGGGCACCCCCAACCACGGCGGGTGACCGCCAGCCAAAGACCTCTTGTGATCGATCCCACTTTCGATCTCACCATCGATCTCACAATCGATCATTCGATCTCACGATCGATTTCACGATCACGATCGGTCACGAAGTCGGTCTCATTATCGATCTCACCATCGATATCACACCTGATCTCACGAGCTACCATCGAGACACCACGGCGGGACACCCAGAGCCACCGTCGGGACACCCCGCGTCACCGACGGGGCACCCCGCGCTACCGGCGGCGCACCCCCGCGCCACCGACAGGGCACCCTGGCACCGGCGCGCCCAGCGGGCGGGGGGGGCCGGTCAAACGGCTCCGTGGGGGTGCGGTCAAACGGCTCCACGGCCCCAAGCCACGGCGGCATCACTCCTCTCGCGCGTCCGCGCAGCTTCGCCTCGCCCCCACGCACGACACGAAAACGAAACCGAAACCGATTTCCTGGTGGGGGGCCTTCCGTCCCACTGCGACCTCACCCCCCAACCTCCGATGGGTGTGTATAATATATATATATATATATATATATATATATATATATATATATAATGTATATATATATATACATATATATGTGTATATATATATATATATATATATATATGTGTGTGTTGTCGGACGGGGGTCCCCGCTCGAACGGAACCTCCCCAGGGATCCGACAACCTGCGCCCATAATTACCATAGCCAGTCCTCCTCCCTCCGCCCTCCCTGTGGGTATGGGAGGAGGAGGGGGAGGGGGAGGGGGGTGGGGAGGAGGAGGAGGAGGAGGAGGAGGAGGAGGAGGAGGAGGAGGAACGAGGGCGAGGCCAAGGGAGGAGGAGGAGGAGGAGGAGGAGGAGAAACGAGGGCGAGGCCAATGGAGGAGGAGAAGGAGGAGTCGGCCCAAGGTTCAACAGGCTGCACGTCGAGCTCGGGCGGTACGTCATCGAGCGCGCGCAGTCCTACTACGACAGCCTGTCGCTGTGGCAGACGGTCCACGCCCGCTGGAGCTCGTCGTCGTCGTCTTTCTGTTTGCCGTTGTTTTTGTCGTCGTCGTCGCTGTCGCTGTCACTGCCGCTGTCGTCGTCGATGTCGACGAGGGCAGGGAGGAGGAGGAGGAGGAGGAGGAGGAGCAAGTAAGTGAGGAGGAAGAGAAAGCCCCTCGGGCTCAGGCGTCTCTCTGATTTGGGGCCACTTGCTTGCACTTGCGAATCGCTGCTTTCCCTCTTGCCTTCCCGTGCGCCATGATCTCTGCAGCCAGGCTCCAATGGGTCACCCAGGAGCTGGCAAATTGCCGGCAAGGCGTTGACAAACTGTGCAGCCGCAGCGACAAGTTCATCATGCAGATTTGTTGCTGCCCCGTTTGGGAACCCACTATGCGGAACAGTCTCATGAACAGCTTGCTCCATATTGCGAACTTTGACAGCGACAGCGATATCATCGTGGCCGCGGGCACAAGAACTTCAAAGGCGAGTCCCGCATCCGCTTTGTCGTGAAGCCGTTCCGGCGGTCATTCTGCTGCGCCGCAGGCCATGCGCCTTGCGATGGTGGAGGGCCCCCGAGCGCCAGACGCACGCCGAGTCCATCGGGTCAGCCCTGGCGCACTTGAAGGGGGAGTCGTCCAGCGAGCAGGTGGCGCAACTGGTTCGCGCTCTGTAGCGATGGAGAACAAGCCGTACGTTAAGGAAGACCTTCATACTGATGCGGCGAGGCCACAGCGGCACGGAAAGGCCGATGTTCCTCGGCAGCATAGCGAGAAACGCATGCTCGCTCCAGGCGTGCCCACACGCCCGATCGGCCTCAACGCTAGGACACTGGTAAACGGGCGCGAAGGCACCCTGAGTTTCTACGACGACGCTGCTGACCGCCGGGCCTTCAAGACTGGCGTTGGGGCCCTTCGCGCCAAGGCATCCTGTCTCGTGCCAATTGGCTTCCACACGAAGATGTATCTTGGCATTGCGTTCAAAACGGCCGCCAACGTCGGGACCTAGTCGATCACGACCAGGTATCCCAGCTGTAGAACAATCTTGCTGCTCAAGAAAGCAGCTTTGGGTAGCTGCTTTGTTCCAGCCCCTTCAGCGACAAGACCGTATTCGAGAAGATGTGTTGCCACGTGGCCGTCAGAAGCCTCGAGATCTTCTACCATATATCGTCGTTCAGCAGCATTCTTGGCGTGCCACGGGCATCAGTTCTTGCGCCCGAAGCGCCATTCCCTCTGCGCCCCGCGTCGGTTGGGTTGCGCCTCCCGCCAAGGTTGGGGTTGCGCCCCCCGTCCTTTTTTCTCGTTCCCCCCTCCTCCGGGAGCTCGGCTTCCCGCGGCGACTCTCCACGCAGACCTTCCGAGCGGCGGCGGCGTTGGGCGGCTTGGATCGAGTCCGCCGCGCCGGGGCCCCAGCCCAGACGGGCTGCGCATATCGCGGCGCCGACGGCCCCCACTTGGGCGTGGACAGCGCGCGCTTACTTGGAGGAATACGCCATCCCCGAGTACTCAAAGTGGTCCCTCCACAGGTACCAGGGGCCCGCGCACGCGCCGGCGCGGGCGGGCAGGAAGCGGCGCATTCGCACATACCACCTCACGGAGGCCGTCGACCCCCGACTGACAGAGGTTCAGCTGCGATGGCGCACCCGCGAGGCGGCCGCCTACCCGCCGCGAGGCGACGGCACGGCGATCCAGGCGGCGACAACGACATCGGCCCCGTGGCCAGCCATACAGGCGGGGGCGCAGCTGCGCCTTCAGGGCCGCCCCACCGCGCACACGACCGCCTCCCGAGCTACGTGCCCACGGCGCGGGGAGGTCATCCCCTCCCGCGCCGCGGCGGCAGCCGGTGCGGACACGGCGCGAGCCCGGCCCGCAGCACCGCCGCCGCCGGCGCCCCGCGGCTGCCGCCAGGCGCCGGGCCGAACCACAGGCCGGGCGCCGCAGCCGGGCCGCTCCGCCGCCGCCGCTGGCTGGCACGCGCGCTGAGCCCGCGCGCCCGCCTGGGGCCCCTGGGAAAAGATCCTCCGTGAGCGTCCAGTTTGGCGTCGAGGCGCAGTCGCACCCTCGTGGGAGACCCCTCGGCCAGAGCTGAGTCGCTGGCAGTGCCTCGGAGCCCTTATAAGATCCGTTGATGTTTGCGTTCGCCTGCCTGCCGGCGAACGCCCAGCAGTTCGGCGTGCTGGCGCCGCGTCAAGTAAAAGGAGGAGGAGGAGGCGGAACAGGAGGAGGCGGAGGAGGAGGAGGAGGAGGAGGAGGAGGAGGAGGAACCCAGAGAAGGAGGATCCGAGTAGTGAGGGCGGGGTTCAGAGGAACAGTTGGCCGACATGGAATAGGGAATATGAGGAGGTGGAGGAGGCGAAGAAGCGCCAGGGCAGCATCCTCAAGACGCGGATAGCTTCCGTGCGCCCCAGGTCACACAGGAGTACGCGAGGCAGAGCGAGGAGGTCGAGCAAGTGAACCAGGTGCCTATTTTTTCGTCCAACTCTTTCGACCCTGCGCCTGCTCCTCCTCCTCCTCCTCCGTCCTCCTCCTCTTCCTCCTCCTCCGCTTCCCCAGGACTGCCTCCACGTTCTTCCTCCTCCCCTTATACATCGAATGGCCTTCGGACCTCCCCGCCACCGCACTTGGGTTGTGGGTCAGAGTTATCAGGGATGTTCGTTTGGGATTTTTCGGAGCGCTATCGGGGGCCTCTTGCAGGCAATTTTGGGGCCTTTTGGGAGCCTCTTATGGCCTCTTGGGGGTTTTGTGGGGCCTCTTCGTCTTTGGGCCCTTTTAGGACCGTCTTGGACGCCTCTTGGGCCATCTTGGGGCCCTCTTGGGCCGACTTGGGGCCCGCTTGAAGGCATCTGGGGTCATCTTGGGGCGATAGTTGGAGCCTCTTGGGCCGTCTTGGAACGCCGGGAAGCCGAAACGGCGAGAAGGTCAGAATCCTTCGAAAACCAAACGTAAATCAATGCTGTTTGCTTCTTGGGGCTCTCTTATGACGCCGCTCGGGGCGTTTTGGAGGCGTCTTGGGCCGTCTTGGGGCCATCTTCGGAGCCCTCTTGGGTCGTCTTGAGGGCCTCTTGAGACCCTCTTGGCCAGTCTTGGGGCCCACTTCGGCCCGAAAAGCTCACGCGAGAAAGTGCGCCAGATCCCCGATAAGCTGCTGGAAGCCCCAAGAGATTCAGGAATTACAGGGTCCGGGCCCCTAAGGAACTCCTCAGGAGTGACGATTGTGGTTTAGAGGATTTGGCAAAGGACCGCAGGGCACGCTCACTCGTTGCCAAAGGGCACGGTACCGGATAGACATGTATATGGGCATGGCCGTTCTTTGCCCCCTCTGTCGTTCATCCGCCGTTCCTCTCTCCCCCCTTCCTCTCGCTTTCTCGCTTCGCGTTTTGCGTAGGAATGTCGTTGGCCGTGCGGGCTTCGCATATTCGGATGTGGCACGTTCATGTCCCTCTTTCAGGCCACGGTTCACTGCATGACCTTGCCTATCGTAGGTTTGTTCGCGTGAGGATTCTGGTTTGCCTGCCCACATGTTGATTCTCACAGCGGTTGAGGCCAGGCAGTGTGAAGTTGTGAGGTTGCGCTCCCTCCATGTCCGTATGCATGTATACGTATAGACACAAGTGTCACGCGAGCATTCAGGCTGAAGCAAAAAAAGAGCAGCAGCACGTAAGCATCGCATAATACTCGTAACACGAAGAATATTAAGCCGAGTCCGAGGAGCAGGACAAGGAACAAGCAGACGGAGAAGCAGAGGAAAGGGGAGGAATTTGGAGATTGAGGATCACCAGATGGCCGTTGGGAATGAGGTGGAAGGGGTCGCTGTCGAACGCAGGTGTGGCTCTTACACCGTGCGATGAATGTGGCGCAACATGGGCTTCTACACCTTGCGATTGCGATTGAGACAAGGCTCCGATGTCAATATTTGGAGGATGTCTTTTGCGAAACTGTCGTTTGGATAATTGTGGGACGTCTTGAAGTACTTCGGGTGTCAATGTTGGGAGCATGTCTCACGCAGAACCTATCTTGGTCTGATTAACATGCCCAACATCGTTGAAAGCCATCGAGTGTTTGATGGCTCGACGTTACAACGTTAAACATTATATGTGTGACTGGCCCTAACATCGCGATATGCGTGAGGGTTGCGTCCGATTCGAGGATGTCCCTAGCGTAACGGCCAGACAACTCGCGGACGGGACCATTCAGCTGCAGCGAACCGCCTCTGAGTTCAATTCACTCAGAGAGGTGTGTATGGGAGTCTAAGTGTTTTCTATACAGACATACATATAGAATACAAACATGTATGCATGCACACATACACACATACACATACACATTCACATACACAGACACAGACACATACACATACACATATACATACACATACACATACACATACACATACATACATACATACATACATACATACAACCATACACACATACATACATTCATACATACGCATACATCCTTATTCCTTATTCATAGATACCCCCAGTCTCTACCGCAGCGGCCCGATAGCCGGTCAATCAAGGCCCTCCCATCCTGACTTAAGAGTAGTACAGAATCGACGATGTCCGCTTCAATATGGGCATTATGTTGTACTTACATATATACACACACACGCACACCGTTCCCGCCCCCTTCGGGCACGGAGGCTTTCCGCCGGTGGAGGCGGCCTCGTTTTATGTTTGCCGCCTTCCGCCGAGGAAGGGACATCAACTCCTTCGACCCCTGAAGGCGAGGCCCTTTCTCAAAGTCTGATATTGTAAGTACGCATATACAAACATTTGTATTATATAGCGCCCATGCGAAAGCGACACTTCTCAGTTGCATGCTGGATTTGCGCTCCGTCAAATTCCTGTCACGCATTTTGCAACCTCGACGACAAAACGTCCATGTTCACAGCAAGAACGGATGCTTAGACATTTTCCAACAGGTAGGATGGATCGTCCCAGATGGAAGCCTTATCGGCCTGCTAGGTGGCACAGTAGGAGGCTATGCCTATAATACTCACGGGGGTAAAGATGCGTATGGTAAGAAGTGAGAGAGGAAGGGAGCGGGAAAGAAGGAAAGGGACCGTGAGGTGGAGGCGTCCCATGAATAACAGGAGCCCCCTTTCCCGGAACATGAGGAACATGGATGTGCTTCAATGATGTAGCCCATCTGGGAGTCTTTGCAAGGCTCTCTTGTGGCTGCTTGGGGCCAGAATGGGATACTTTGGAGCCGCGTTCTCCTTAGTTGGGCTCTCTTGAAATCCTCTGAGAGGTCTCTTGGGACATCTTGGCGAGCGCGTGGGCCGTCTGTGGGCCTCCTGGAGCCATTGGGGCCCCCCACAAGCCCGTTCTGGCGGCGCCCGACGGCCCTCTTGAGACCCGTGTGGGTTCGAGGGGGCCCCGCCGTGGATGTGACATTAGGTATTGCCCATCCGGGAGATCCCTGGTCGATTAACACAGAGGACATGGTCCTACCATTCTTGATTTCTCATGTGCCATGCTTCCTTATCGTTTCACTTCTATACGTTCCTTTCCCGCTTCCTGTTTCGCTCCTCTTGCTGCTGCCTCTGGAGCTCCTTCTTCCCCTCCCTTCTCGTAGTCCGCCTCCTATCCTCAGGCTCCCTGGCTGGAGCAGAAAATCCCCCCCCGAGCCACGACAAATGCCAGGTTGTTACGCACTTATGTGCCCATGGCACCCATGATACACAGCTTGGGCAGTACACATGTTGCCGCCCGCCCTATGCGAGCATGGACAACGCGAGATGCACAGCACGCCTTTTTCCTCGCATGAAGTACCGCCAGATTGCTGCTGGAGCATCTGGCGTGTAACCACCTTAATTGGCTTCTCAGATTCCTGTCTAACCGTCAAGAACCATACCCCTTACCCTTCGCGCCTCCACCTTTGCGCCACTTGTTAATCGTCGGCAGAATCACCCCCACCCCCCCGACGGGCTAGGACAATTTAGCTCTCCCGCTCATGCCCGAAATCGGTGTGCGTCCTTCGGTCGTCGCGTGGAAGTCGGCCCCAAACCAGACCAGACATCTGGGTCCGTTTGGGAGGTCGCCGCGGCGATCGCGGCGGCCACACATCGGGGCATTTGTTTGCCAAGGAGTGGCATGCCCCTGCCCAGCCCCCCCCCGCTCTGCGATGTAGCCGTGGATCCGAATGTACAATGTAACGATAGAGATTTGACAATGCATGTCAAACCTGGGCAGTCATGCTTTTTGGCTGGGGGTTGGTTATCACGCAACCGATCGGGCATCTGTCATTGCCACCCGGCCGGCATGATCGGACGAATGTCGTAGCAATGATAAGGGCGAGCAGGTTTCCAAGGGTGCTTCTGCGTCCGTGCCTATGCGGCCCGTCATTGGCCGTTTTCGCGGGTCAGCTTCTCAGGGTGTTCTGTAGGTTGGCGGCGTCCTTAGTCTGTGCGACGCTCTAGAGGGGAAGAGCCCTAAAGACGCCCATGCCCAAAATCGGCGCGCGCCCACAGGGCTCCAGTAATTGCCATTCGGCATCATCGGACGGATGCCACAGCAAGGCTGTGCTCAGTAGACAGGGCTGCCTCCCAGGACGACGGCTGAGGGGGGCCCTGCAGCAGCGGCGCGGCCTCCCGGGAGGCCCACGAGGGGAGGGGGGCCGCTGGTCGACCTACGCCATTTGGTGGGGAGGGGGTTGGTGCTTCGCTCGGGCTTCGGCGCACCGCTCCCCAACGAAGGGGAGAGCCCAAGCCGGAGTACTGCGTCTGGCGCAGACGGGTCGGCGGCGAGAGGTGCAGTCGTGCACCGAGAGAGGTGCACGGGCGACAGCGACTACGTGCGAGAGAAGCCACAGAACTGCATCCGCGCGCAGCTGTTGCACCCAGCGCGCAAAAGGTTCCATCCAGGCATCAGCTTTTGCAAGTGCTACTGCACCTCTCCCCGCGGACTCATCTGCGTCCGACCCACCACTCTGGCGTAATGAGTGGTTTGGCTGGCTGTGTGGGATTCAGCGGCTGGCCCGTTGATCTCCCCAGAGGAAAAAATGAAAGACACTGCTTGCGCACCCATGGGGCTCGTGTGCGCCTGCGGGTCAGAGATGCGCCCCCTCTATTGAACAGGGTGCCGGGGGGGGACAAGTCGCCAGCGCAGGACACTCGTGGCCGCAACCGCGGGGAACACCTCACCAGAGCAATATGAGATTGACCGCAACCGCGGGGAGCAACTCACAACAGCACCGAAGGGGAGCGCTGTGGCTCGGTGGGTAGCAGAGGCTGCCAAACGGTGTGGTGGTCACACCGTATTGTGAGTCAAGGGGGATTCGGGGTCACCGCACTGGTTTGGGACCCGGGTCGTTCTCCGAGGACGGGACCGTGCGGTGAGGTCTTTCGGAATTTCGAAGTCACCACCCGGTGTGTCACCACACGGTGTGTCACCACACCGTTTTCGGACCTTCACTGATCCCCCCAGAGGAAAGCAACGGATTCTGCCTGCGCTCCGATGGTGCCCACCGCGAGAGCGCGCGGGGCTGCCCAACGCGTCAGCTTGTGCCGGTGCTTGCGCGCGCGCGTGCGCTGGGCCGCCACGCCTGCGGGACGGCGGGGGCGTGAGATCACCGCGTTTTCTCCCGACGCCGTTTTCACGGGCGCCTTTTTCAAAGGTGTGCAGCTGGGGCTGCTACTGACCAAATCGAGCGCGGTACCGCTGCGGTACCAACAAGACGCGGCATCACACGAGTGCCAACCTGTTTGAAGTGGGACAACTCCAGAGTTAGGGTTTTCCACCAACCAGCGCGCACCAGTACGGCCACGTCCATCTCCACTACCATCACTGCTACAATCCCCACGGCAACGACGACGATCATAACACACTCGTTGGCTACACCATCACAGCTGCTGATCCTAAGTTGACGCATCCACTTACACCTATGCCGTCACAACCAGCGGTAGCAGTTCCTCAAAGACAGTTTTTGCAGAAGCTGGAGTAATACGTACTTGCCAGTTGTTAGGTGCAAACTGAAAGGCGGCAGCTAATGAGTATTGTGTTTACTGGTTGGTGCATGCCCGTACGACTATCTTATCATCGTTGATCGCTTGTTTGTGCAATTGGGCATGGTTAATACTGCTGCAACCAAACTGATGCACCTTGCTCCACCCTTCGAATACCACTGACCGGGCACCACTGAAGCAGGTGTTTCTGGCACCTTCCCAATTCACAGTCACCACTGCTCATGATGTGTCAAGGCCTTCTGCTACTAGTGGTGGCGCTGCTAGAACAATTTGGACGACGACTGCTAACAAATTGCAAGCCCATGGCCACTACTGCCGTCGCCCGTGATACGTGAACCGCGGCGCCTGCCCTAGCTCAATCATCGCAACAATTTCTGCGGCCATATGACTACTCATATACCTCCTGCCAGTGATACCCATTACTTCGAGTACCACAGGCACTCTCATTCATCGCATACGTTTGATTGCTAGTAGTGCGCCTATTGTGAGTAACAGCAGCATGGTTTTTCTAGGGCCGCGGATGCTACTGCTGCCCAGTATCGGCATGCAGGTGCTACCGCCTCTGAGGCGAGATTGTTTTAAAGTGATGCGCCAAAAGACGGCGTAGTCTAACTGTTGTTGCGACAGATGGTGTTGCTACGATTGAGGTCATCACCATTTCTAATACGTGCGCTGGTGATTTAAAGTGACCCCTACCCTTGCTACTTTCCAACAGTCGGCTTCATTCTGGGCGGTAAGCACCCCCCGCAGTTCACACAGACCTTTGTCTTGATGCGTGCTTGCTACCTGCCATCCACCGCATAATTAGCGCGTCGCAGTGCCGACGTGCCCATGACATACTCCCAAATACCGTGTGTGATCTACGATCCACATTTGCAACTTGCTTTCACGGTTGGCACCACTATTGCGATCGCTTTCGAGTGGGAAGTACTACTTGTGTTACCACGGCGATCGTGATTCCACCCTCCCTCCTCACAGTAATCTCGGCACTCCGAGTTACCCATTGTTTTATATTCCAGATGCTAGGCCATGGAACGTCGATCTGCTCAATCCGAGCCGTGTGGTCCTTGACGTCACTCTCCTCCTGCACCTCCTCCCTCGCCCTCCGATTTCTCTCCCCCCCCTTCGCCTCCTACCACCCCTCCCTCCCGCTCCTCCTCGCCTCCTGTCGCTTCTCTTTCCTCCCTCCCCCTGCTCCGTCACTTCCCTGCTCTCCTCCCCCGCCCCGCTCCAGCCCCGTGCCTCCTCCGATCGAGCAGCCTTCCGTTTGCCCTTCTCCTCTCCGTGCCCCCCCCCGTTGTTTCTGCAGGAGCTCGACGCTGCCGTGAAGACCCTCAGCAAGGTCGAGCAGGCGTTCGAGGCGTTCATCTCGGGAGGCCCGCCGTTCGCCGCTATTTCTGGTCACGCCCACGCGCGGCGCGGCACATAAAAAGCTCAATGTCAGTAATTAGGCCTGGTCTCGCGGGGATGACCGAGCTCCACAGAAAAACACACACACACACATTCCGATGCCGTTTCTTCGTTTTTACATTTTTGGGCCTTTTCGGGGGCCCTCGTCGCCACGGCTTGAGCTGCCGCGGAATCTCTGTCGGAACGTTTTCTCAGTGGGATTTGGCGAGCCGCGGTGTCTGCAGCTGTTGTTGGCCCCGGAGCTTGAACAGTTCCAGTGATCGCAAGGTCGCCTTGAGAATTATCAGTGGCGGGGGGAGGCCACGCGAACTCAGGTCGTCGGTGGAGCTCCGAGTGGGGCGCGAAACGTTTGAGGGGTGTGCCAGTATGGGTGGGGGGACGCAATGCGGTACTTACCTTTGGGCGTTGGTGGAGCAGCTTGCAGGGCACGATTCGTGTGAGGGGGGTGCTTTGGAATTAATGGGAGTGCTGTGCGACACTTGTCTCTGCGGCCGTAAGTGGAGCTTCACATGGGGCACGAAGCTCGCGAGAGGTGTATCGAAATTGGCGGTGGGCTATGCGAACCCTGCCTCTAGAGCCGCAGATGGAGCTCCCTGTGGGGTATTGTGAATGAAACGTGTGGGAGGGGGGTGATGAAATTAACGATGGGCGTTGTGCGGCTCCCTGTCCCAGGGGTCGCAGGTGGGGCTCCTTGTGGGACGCAAAATCTTTGAGGGGTGTACCGCCATCGAGGAGGAGGGGCGCGCGCGACACGATACTCGCATCTGCAGCCTTAAGTGAAGCTCCCTGCGAGGCACAAGGCATGTGAGGGTGTGCAGAAAGTGGCGTGGGGACGCTCTGCAAACCCTGTCTCTGGGGTCGTCGGTGGAGCTCCTGCGGGGCATTGTGAAGCGTGTGAGGGAGTGCCGAAATGGGCGGAGGGGCGCTATGCGAATCCTGTCGCCGGGGCCGATGGTGGAGCTCCGTGTGGGACTCGTGATGTTTGAGCGGCGTACCGTCATGGCCGGGGTGACACTATGTAACATTGGTCTCTGAATCCGTAGGTGGAGTTACTTGTGGGACACGATGGAAAGTGCGCAGGGTGTACAAGAATGAGCGGGGATGCCGTGCCATCTGTCTCTGCGGAGAACATGCCTACACGCCAGCAGCATCCATGACAAACGTCACGCGAAAGAATGACGGGTGGCCCGCAAATGCTCTTTGGCTTGCCGCAGCGTGCGCTTGGCGTTGTTTTCCAGGGGCATTGGGGGTGCGGCGGGGTCATCAGTCTTGGTCGGCGGCCGCTCAATGGCGGGATGGCGTGCGTGAGTGCGTGTACGTGTGCGCACGCGTAAGCGTAAACGAGTGCATGTGCGTGTGCGTGTGCATGTGCGTGTGCGTGTGCGTGTGCGTGCGTATGTGTGGGTGTGCCTGTTTTTGTATGTTTGTGTGTGTTTGTGTGTGTGGGTCTGCGTGTGTGCGGGTGTGCTTGTGTTTGTGTTTGTGTGTATTGTGTATGTGTGTGCGTGCGTGCGTGCGTGCGTGTGTGTGTGTGTGTGTGTGTGTGTCTGTGTGTATGTGTGTGCGTGTGTGCGTGTGTGTATGTGTGTGTGCGTGCTTGTATGTGTGTGTGTGTGTGCATGCGAGCCTGCGTGCCTGCGTGCCTGCGTGTCTGCGTGCCTGCGTGTCTGCGTGCCTGCGTGCCTGCGTGCCTGCGTGCCTGCGTGCCTGCGTGCCTGCGTGCCTGCGTGCCTGCGTGCCTGCGTGTCTGCGTGCCTGCGTGCCTGCGTGCGTGCGTGCATGCGTGTGTGTTTGTGTTGTGTGTGTGTGTGTCTCTGTGTCTCTGTGTCTGTGTGTCTCTGTGTCTCTGTGTCTCTGTGTCTCTGTGTATGTGTGTGTCTCTGTGTCTCTGTGTCTCTGTGTCTCTGTGTCTGTGTCTGTGTGTGTCGCTGTGTGTCGCTGAGTGTCTGCGTGTTTGCCTGCGAGCCTGCGGGCCGGAAAGCTTGCGAGCTTGCGTGCCTCCGTGCCTGCGTGCCTGCGTGCTTGCGTGCCTCCGTGCCTCCGTGCCTGCGTGCGTGTGTGCCTTTGAGCTTGCGAGCCTGCGTGCCTGCGTGCCTGCATGCCTGCGTGCCTGCGTACCTACGTTCCTGCATGCGTGCGTGCGTGTGTGTGTGTGTGTGTCTGTATGTCTGTGTGTGTGTGTGTTTGTCTATGTGTGTCGCTGTGTGTCTGTGTGTGCCTGCGAACCTGCGAGCCTGCGTGCCTGCGTGCTTGCGTACCTGCGTGCTTGCGAGCTTGCATGCCGGCGAGCTTGCGTGCCTGCTTGCCTACGTTCCTGCGTGCCTGCGTGCCTGCGTGCCTGCGTGTCTGCGTGCCTGCGTGCCTGCGTGCGTGCGTGCGTGCGTGTGTGTTTGTGTTTGTGTGTGTGTCTCTGTGTCTCTGTGTCTGTGTGTCTCTGTGTCTCTGTGTCTCTGTGTCTCTGTGTATGTGTGTGTCTCTGTGTCTCTGTGTCCCTGTGTCTCTATGTCTGTGTCTGTGTGTGTCGCTGTGTGTCGCTGAGTGTCTGCGTGTTTGCCTGCGAGCCTGCGGGCCGGAAAGCCTGCGAGCTTGCGTGCCTCCGTGCCTGCGTGCCTGCGTGCTTGCGTGCCTCCGTGCCTCCGTGCCTGCGTGCGTGTGTGCCTTTGAGCTTGCGAGCCTGCGTGCCTGCGTGCCTGCATGCCTGCGTGCCTGCGTACCTACGTTCCTGCATGCGTGCGTGCGTGTGTGTGTGTGTGTGTCTGTATGTCTGTGTGTGTGTTTGTCTGTGTGTGTCGCTGTGTGTCTGTGTGTGCATACGAACCTGCGAGCCTGCGTGCCTGCGTGCTTGCGTACCTGCGTGCTGGCGAGCTTGCATGCCGGCGAGCTTGCGTGCCTGCTTGCCTACGTTCCTGCGTGCCTGCGTGCCTGCGTGCGCGTGTGTGTGTGTGTGTCTGTGTGTGTGTTTGTGTGTGTCTGTGTGTCTGTGTGTCTGTGTGTCTGTGTGTCTGTGTGTCTGTGTGTCTGTGTGCGTGTATGTGTGTGTCTCTGTGTGCCTCTGTGTGTGTGCGTGTGTGCGTGTGTGTGTGTGTGTGTGCGTGGAGTGGGTGTTGGTGTGGGTGTGGGTGTGTCTGTCCGTGGACCCCATAGGGGAGCGGTCAGCCAGCCCAGATGGGCCGAGTTAAAATCAGCACGCGTGGGCACCGAAGCGCGTTGGCCCGTGAGCCAAAAGTGGACGCGGCCTACTACGCATGGGCCAACGGCGTCAGGGCCGCTTAGGGCCCGAGCCCGAGACGCCAGAGGAGCAAGCCCAGGCGCAGGATCACGGACCCAGCCCCGCAGCCCCACAGGGCCTCCAGACACCCCACGCTCAGCGGCCGATGAGGCCAGGCAAAGCAAACACTCCAGGGCCACCAGAGCGCGCGCCCGAGCTTTCACCCTTGGCGGTGGGGCGCACCCCCTGCAGCAAGAGACGCTCCCTTCTTTACATGATCATGCGTTGGGCAGGGCTTCGCTCGGCCCACGGAGGCAGGGCGCCAGGTCACACAGTCTTGAGCTGCCTGGCCTCTCTGGGCGCGTAGGCCCCACGACGCCGGCACATTACAACACCGATCCTTGACACAGACTCGTGGCCACGGCCAGAGGTAAACTCAAACGCGACAAATGCGACGCCCTCGCCGTTAACCACCTCTCCCTGAGACGCGACAATGGCGGATGACGGACAGGGAAGAGGAGGCATTGCTTCCGCTCGCGTTGCCTGAGTCGGTGGCCCCGCGGGCCGCGCGCCTGCCCGGTCAGCTACGGCTGATGCCTCATCGCCATGGACGTGCCTCTGCGCCACCACCGCAGCCCTGCGCACCTTGTCGAGAGCACTCTCAGGTCGACAGCTGGCGGCGACGTTGCGACCTCCTCAACCCCACCCCGGCTGTAAGGGTTACCTGCTGGTCCTGCGACCTGCCGTCCGCAGGCCATTCCGCCTGGTTGTCTGCGTGGTCCGCGTCGGCGGCTGTTGCTCCCGCAGCTGGCAGGGCTCTGGCAGCGCGGGTGGCGACACGGCCTGCCAGGGCGGGGGGCCGCAGGCCGAGCGGAGGCCTTGCGTCTGGCGACCTTCGTGGGCGGCGGTTGCTCGTCGAGCTCCGCAGCGGCACGTCGCCCAGCGTGGCGCCTGGCAGCCGAGGCGCTGGCCGCCCGTGCGAGCGCTGGGCCTAGCTCCATCCGTGGGTTGCCGTGTGCCTGCACCTCGCCCGCAAGATGTGCCACTGCATCATCTTCAGCATGCGCGTCCACCGCGGCGCGGTCATCGCCACACCGCTGCCGCAGCGGCCGCGATGCCCATCGGTGCGTCGCTGAGCCTGCTGGCAGTGCTGCTGGCTGGATCCTCCTCCGCAGGGTTGGGGGTCGCCGCTTGGTCCTCCACGTCGTCGTTGGGCGGCTCTTGCCCTGCGCCTGGCGCGTCGTGGTCCCTGCCGCTGCCCCTTTTGGCTGCGGCGCCATGCTCAGCTGGCTGCGCCGGCGTGCTGCTGGCCCCGCTGCTGCCGCTGACGGTAGCGCTTGTTTCCCACGGTGAAGGCGAGAAGAAAGCCAGCGATCGCCTGAAAGCCAGCGATCGCCTGAGCCACGGGCTCTGCCTGCAATTCGATGACGCCGCGGGGGTCGTGCCTGGCTCGCCCCTGCAGCTCGGCCAACAACCGACGCTTTCGCGGTGCCGCCTGGAGCCAGAGCAGCCATTCCACGGCCAGGGCACCCCAGGCCCAGGGGGCCTCCTGCAGCGGGATTAACGGGAACCGTCTACCGAGCAACACCGCGAGGCATGGATACAATAGCACCAGTCGGGCCAAGTCCGCACAGCGCTCTTCGCGTCCGCGAGGTCCCCCAGCCAACCTGCCGCCCCGTTAACCAGCCGCGCGATGTCGTCGATGCCGAGCGCCTCCTCGACCGATTTGGGCATGGCGGCGACGGCGGGCTGCCCGAC